ATAAGGCCACAGTGGCCTTGATGCCCTTTCTGACTAAGTTTTGTGGTTTAGCAGTCTGCCTCTTTTCTGACACGGCTTCAACACCAGCATATTTTGAAGGAGGAAAAAAAAATCAGCGGTGCGCTTGATTTGAGCCTGGAATGCACCGCTCGGACGGTCTATGATGACAGTTGACATCAGTCTAGGACAGGGGTGGGGAACCTCCGGCCTCCGGGCCGTATACGGCCCGCGAGACCATTTGGTACGGCCCTCGAGGTAATTTATAAACACACGCAAAAAAGAAAAAAATTCAAGAAATCTAGACCGCAAAATAATTAAACAAGCTTGTTTTTCCTGGCCAAGTTCAGGGTCCTTGAACACAACACGAGCCTAACGTGTCATCACGTGGTATATGTCTCGTCTGACAGGAGTGTAGTTCTAACGGAGAGCACCAGAACGCGGCTCCGGGCCGGGACTTCACAAATTGCAGTACCCATAAGGAGCTGTACACATGCCGCAGTTTTTGCGTGGCTGTGTCTTTAGTTGAAAGCCCAGTGGCGATCTGTTCATCTGTCATACTGATCATACAGTCAATAACTTTGTTGTTATTAGCATCTGGTTAGCTAGCTATGCTAACGAATATAAGAAGCTTTTTCTCCAACCAGTGAGGTAAAGGCACATCTTTATATGATCATTATAGTTATAAAAAAATAAGAGAATAAAGTAAACAGGTATACAATACTAATATGACAGTAAAAAAAAGTTGTCATTAATAAACAAGAATACAGTTTAAAAGGGGAGTGATTTGTAAAATATCCATAAAGAAAAAAATCTGCTTACAGTCTCAAAGTGCACCAGATTGATGCTTTTAACTTCAACATTTAAAAAAAATCTTCCTGGTGATGCATCCCCCCCCAAACCCCCCAGGGGGCAAAAACAAATATTGTTTCCTGCATTAGCGGCAGTCCCTCATACTTTACATTGACGCAATGTAGTGTTATCAGATGAGTTTTAAGGTTGCCCCTTCTTAAGTCATATTTCTTCTGGACCTTTACGTATTCTGCAGATTACTATCTTGACAGGAAAACGTATTGTTGATTTTACTCTTTTATTTGTATTTAAGTCCCAAAATGAGTTCCAACGGCCATACTATTAAGTAGACAGTCCTCTCTGATAGGTTTGATCCTCACCTGGAGTGGGAACGGCTGCGGCTGCTGCTCTCGCTGCGGCTGCGGCTCTTACGAGACCTGCGGCTCCTGGAGCGGGACCTGAGGAAACAGAGTAACGGTTGGCAAAAGATTCAAAGCTTTATTGTCACGTGGTGCAAATAAGATACAGTGTAGATAGGGCAAAGAAAAACGTAAGACACAGGTTCCTCTAACAGTGTAACATGAATATATAAAATAAGTAAAAACAGATAAAATAGTGCAAGAGAATTAAAGAGGGGCCAAAGGCAGGGCAGGCATCATCACCGGCGCCATCTAAGTACAATGCCGGTACAAGGGCTTCAATTATTGTTATGAAGATGTGTTGGACGCCAAGCCAGCACCTTTTTGAAACTATTCTCAAGACCTTTTTTGTTGTGCAGTTTAACTTCCTCTTACATTTTTTGCAAGCAGTATGCATCAGTAAAATAACAGCAAACTAAAGAACCGGTCTGACCTGGAGTGGCTGCGACTGCGAGAATAAGAGCGCTTGCGTCTGGCTCCAGGGCGGTCCTCGATCAGACGGATCTTCCTTCCATTCACTTCGGTGCCGTCGAGCTTCTCCAAAGCCCTCTTCATGTCGGAGTAGAGCCTGAACTCTATCACCCCCTCGTTCCTGCGGCCCTTGTGGGTGTCGGCATAAGTCACCTCCCCTGCCTGTCTCATGTAGTCCTTAAGGAAAAAGCAAATATATCATGAAGTAGATCTGCGAGACAAACAAAACTTAAGAATATGTTGGTGTACTAAACGGCTATGGATCAAATAGATCTTCATACCTTCAAATCCTGCCAGCTGCAGCGACTGGAAAGATTCTCAACAATGAGCCGATAATCTGTCCTTATGGGTGGACCATATCTGTCTCTTCCAAAGCGACCATATCCACCTTTTGAGGTAACAGGAAAGGACAGGGGAAAAAATGAGGACCCCAAACAAACTGTGGTGGTGCATTTATGCTAATCTCCAAGCTACACACTACCAAATATATCAATATTGACTTGGGAAAAGAAAAAAGGGGCAAAGCAAAAGGTGAGAAAAGTATTACAAAAAAAGGCTGAATTTATAATTTGCTAAAAGAAATATTCAAAAGCCTCAACCTATAAAGTACATTTTTAAGCTTATCATTTTAGCAAATGTTGGTAAAAAGAAATTCTATGTGCCTATTTTCTAAATAACAAACTGAAAAACTGTTTGAGGAAGTACTTACGGTGAACTAAAGCAAGATTCTAAGCTACCCTATCTAGAAAAAACATTTTACTTTTACAAAACATGTTCTTTTTTCAGGCACCCATAAGAACTGAACCCACATCTGTTCCTAACCCCCATGGCATCCTCACCACCCGGCCTGGGCCTAATGGGAAAAGCGGTCTTCATTCACAATGGCTCCCTTTTTTGGTCTGCCCAGGGGCCCAGAATGGTCAAACCACACTCTTGGAAAGGGGGGACACCATGGCCAGCAATAGGGGCAGGCAGTCAGCAAAGGACTCTTCCAATTAAAACATTGAGGTTCTTTGTTAAATCTTTACCTTTAAATTGACAATCATTGTAAATGAAATAAAAAAACGGAATAAGACATCAATGGATTACAAGATATTTAACAATCAAATGGCTATTTTTACAGTATTTAATGAAGACATTTATATCCTTTCCATCAGTAAGCCATTTCCTCATCACATAATAAAATGTAACTGCATTTTCAAACCATTACATGGTAAACCCAAGACATTTATTCAAGTCATTGGTGGCTTTGGTGCACACAATAATAATAATTATGACATGTGCAGATATGGAAATCTCTCTTCATGCCTACTGTTGAAAAAAAATGTTAATGCTGTCTTGAGTGGGGCTTGTGCACCGTGTGCTCAAATATTTGCAAGACAATTAAAAACAAACTTGCAGCTCTAGAGTGCCCTATCTGAAACTGAGACATTCATTTATGTTAAACAGGTCATCGAAAACCTGGAAGAATCAATGGGGCCAGAACAAAAGCAAAAACTGATGAAATTAGCACAAGGGAGGATAGGTGTGAGGAGTTTCATTTAAAGATGCACAAGTTGGTGCTCCTTCATTAGGTATCGAGAAAAGGTACCAACAGAGCTCGACAATACTGACCAAAATGTTATTTTATACATCTGTCTATTTTGTCAGCATTTTAACCAATCTTGTTACAGTATTCACACATATTTAGAGACTACAGTGATAATATGCCATCTATCAAAACGCTCATATTGGTGAACATTGTGGACAGGCTAACTTAGTTATTTTGCACTCCATTTTCAAAATATCAAACCCATAGTTTTCAGGTATAGCTTGTGTGACTAAGAAAAGCCTATGTTAAGGAGTGAGCTTAAGTACCACCAAAAATGAACAAACACTAGGATATCAATTGAGTGCACATCAGCCACCAAGGACAAGCTCAAGATTGTACCCCTTTGAAATTTAGATTGTTTCCCAGTAATGAATGAAACCCCCAATCAATGACATATAAAAAATAACTTTTCTTTGTTAAACACTTACTGCTGCTGCTGCTTCTTCCTCCTTCACCACCACCTCCTCCTCCTCCTCCTCCTCTATCGCCGCCGCCTCCTCCTCCTCCGCCTCCTCCTCCTCTGCCGCCGCCGCCACCACTACTACTACCTCCGCCACCACCACCACCACCACCATAACCTCCATCCCGACGGGGTCCCTTGGTGTGCTCCACAATGACTCTTTCACCACACAACTCCTTGCCGTTTAAGTCATAAACAGCATCATCTGCATCACGGGGGTCATCAAATTCAACAAACCCATACCTTTACAACAGAAGAGAAAATGTTTTAACATCGGGTTACAAAAAAATGTTTTGAGTTCATAATCGGTCAGTCAGGTGAGCACAAACTGGCCAAAACCTATTTAGAAAGAGTAGCACAAGCTTTTTAAGATGTTATCAGCATGGCATACCGATAGCAATTTAGATTTTACTGGCTGAAAAGAATGAACTTCATTTCCAGATTTTGAAAAGGAATGGTGACTCTCAGAAATGCATTTTACACATTATTATATATATTTTGTTAATGGCTTGTTACAAAACAAATCTTAGATAGTTCATATACAATTCTTACTAGCAAATATTTGATTTCCACTAGTAACTTTACTAATTAAGATATCTTAAAATGCTAGATATCTGTACACACTAGAAATGTGTATAAAGTCAATAGTCTGCTAATTAATTAAATGGTTATATTGATGATTATATGCAAATAATGCAATTATATTAGCAACAATTTGATGAATTTGTATTCGTTTGATAATGAACCAAACTATTCTTCAGTTAGACTACACAAGTATGAATGTCTATTAAAACAGATATTCAAAAATGCTACTTGGATATCTATTTTTGGAAGAGTAATGGAACGTTTTTCGAGAGTTTCGAAAACAAAGAAAGTCTTCAACGATACAGCCAACACTTAAATCCAAAAGTTGCCTGGCGTATACAGAAATTGCGAATCTATTGATTTAACAAGGATGCAAACTTCATACATAATGGACAGTGGTTCTGCAAAACGAGCACACGCGTAGATTCACTTTGTTCCTTGTAGACTGGTAGTGGCCATTTTTCGAAAATTCTGAAGACCAAACACTAAATGGGTGATGCAAATAATCGTCGTTGGCAGCCCTTGATACCAGGAACTAGCACCTAACTAACAGATCCTTATTCATAATAAAAAAAACTCACCACTGGTGAGTGAATCAAAGAAGCTGCACGTTTAAAAAACATTACATTCGTGGAATTTGACATTTTCTGCGATTTAATGTACTGTGAATCATGATGGTGATGTTTGATTAAAAATAAACAACAACCTTGAAGTCCAAACAAAGAGCATTTGATAAATACATTATTTATGAATGCTCTCCATCAATGCTGTACTGAATAGCATCGATGGAGACGTTTGAAACAGACATATCAAGCTTGATTGTACAAAGTATCTTGAATAAAAGAATCATGCCATATCTAAAGTATTGTGCATTCGCGAGGATCCAAGCTAAATACGAGATTGGCTGCACTTGCACTTGTTTAGCTTGATGTATACAAGGCCGCCAGTGACATTGCCACGTCTAACCTTAGCTAACTAGTTAGCGTTGTCCGAGATAGCCCAAACGTTACATAATAAGCAGCAATATGAGCTTTGATACAGTTTCGAGAAGAATAATAATGATAACAAAACAAACACCTCAGTCCATTACACATTATAGATAGTTTTCATTTGTAATTATAAAATATGCTAACGAATAGCTTAGCATTAGCTGGGCACACGACCAACAAGGCCTAGACGGCACGTTTTCGGCCTTTGCAGGCGTTAGCTTAGCACCGACAGAACACCAAAAAATGTTACCCGTTTTTCAGGTCGACCTCGAGTATCTTCCCGTAGCCTTTGAAAAACCTCTCCACGTCCTTTTCTCGGGCCCTGTAGCTCAGTCTTCCAATATACACCCTCGACATCTTGTGTGTTAGCTACTGTATGCTAACGTAGCGAAATGTGGGATCCGGCTAAAACCGAACGAGCACACAGACCGGAGGCGCGAGGCTGCAACTATACATACACGCGCTCCTTTGGTACAATAGGTCCGAGCTGCAGGGGGCGCGGCCTCTTCTGTTTGGGTTATTTTGGCCTGAGTTCAGTCTCTCAGGTAAAAGGTATCACAAGCTAAGTATCTTATTACCTATCAATATTGAGACGAGACTAATAGAAATCCTATTAGTATAAGGTTAATTGAAAAGTTTGTTATGACCTAAATAGGAATGTGCCCTGATTTGGTGCATACGACTGACATATTAAAAGAGGCAAAGTACTTTAAAAAATAAAAACAGTATGGTCCAATACAAATATGCACAACTTAATTTTATTACAGTGTTTTACTTGCATAATCAAATATTTTTCAGTAATGTAAAAAACAAAAAACAGTAAATAAATCAAAAAATGTAAAGACCAATGTTAAACTTTTGACTTTACCTCATTCATTTGTTTGCAGATTTACATGAGATGAGTTGGTTAATGACAATATGCAAAGTATAAAGTTATCAAATACATGTATGGGAGTGAAAAAGTACAACGTTTGCTTCCAAAATGTGGTGGAGTAGAATTATAAAGAGACAGAAAAAAAATGAGATAACAAACATAGATAATACAAGTAATAGGTCATGCATTAAATTGAGAGGAGTCTGCCTGCAGGCCTCCACTGATTAAATTACTTTGCACTACTGCATTTAAAATGATGGAACCAACACATGTATGCATGATCTATATTATAGTACATACAACATTCCCTCAGTGATAGTTGATTATAAGAATGTGTCATGATACATTATTATCTACGTTACGACACGAGATAGATCATCTAATCTTTCAGGTTCTTTCTAACACGCGGTGAGGTTAGCCGCGGTGGGCGGGGCTAACAACGACACGGACAAAACACCAGCTGCTCTTCTTATGTGCTAGTTATTTTTTAACACACTTAGATTCCCTTAAATGCCTTCAACGTTTTAATAGAGGATATTTTAATAAATGTACGCTGTTATGTCAACATGAAAGTTTTTGCAACTTTTTTCTTCACTGGGCTGAAGAACGTGAAGTCGCTCTGGGAGGGAAATAACGGTACAGGACGTTAGCCGAATGTTAGCTAAGCAGCAACAGTTGGTATGTTGGTTGGTCAACTAGCTAACTGACAAAAACGGTAATGGAGCGCGCGACTTTTTCAAAGTACTCGTGGATAGATTTCGCCTTCTCTGTGATCGGAGTGTGTACTTTCCTGATGGACTGGGGCTCGGACGTGTGGGTGGCCACCGAGTTTTACTGCCGAGGGGACATCTTCTGGTTCGGGGTTCTGGTCGGCCTCATGGTCCTGTCGTCGGTCGTGGTCCAAATGTTCAGCTGGTTCTGGTTCCAGTATGACCGCAAGCTGCCGGGGTTCGGCAGCGTGCAGACCGGAGGAGGAACCGTGCTGTTCGGGGACCGAGTGAAGCTCTCCTGCCTGTTTCATGTGCTGCAGCTGGGCTTCCTTTGCAGGTAGCCTAAACAAGTGTGCACTGCACTAGTGGAAAAGTACTCCTATCCAAATAAAACTACTGTAGTCTTAATATGCACCACTAGAAGTAAAAGTCCTTTAATACAAAATGTTACTAAAGAAAATGTAACGTGTGAAAGCTAATATGTGTTCTGTTATAATGAGAAACCTACTTGAAATATTATCTTATTACATCAAAATGTTTTGAAACTTGATGTTGTGTTTTTAATGTAATAATAATAGTGTATTTTACTCATTACTAACATAATCTCTTTTATTTATTGATTACTTTTTCTTTTGAAATGTTGGAGCTTGTACAATGGCTGGTAAACTGTACCTTATATTACTGCCAGGTATCTTAGTCTATAATATTACATCATTATACGTTACTTGGTTTATATTTTTGTGATAAAGATCTGAATATGCAAAGTTTTTGTTTGAATCCATTCAGTCTAGGAAGATGTAAGCTTCCTAACTATAGTGGAGTAAAACTGCTTAAACCCATTATATATTATAAAATGCAGTGCTAATGCGGCTAATTACTTGATTGTTGGTTAAACCTCATAGCAAATATATAAGTTCATATTACCCAAACAGCCTACTCCTGTTTAAATGTGACAGTAAATGTAAGGCTGGTTTCTCAAGATGTGGAAAGTGTTTCAACAACAGGTTGCACAAAGTATAAGCACTCTTTAATCCTGACAAAACTGCAATAAAGCACACTGGGCCCAGGAACCTTTACCGTAGGAGTATTTCTCTCTACCTGTTAAACAACTGGACATTCCTACAGAATAGTTCATGCAGGCAAGTAGGTAATGAAATGTGACATGTGTAGTAACCATAAATGAAACATATCAGGTGTGGCAACTGGTAAATCCAGCGTCCCATAAGAGCACTCTGCATACACTACACAAGTAATGAATGATTGACGTATGAAGAGCACAAAGTCATTTAATGCATCATGACAGATTGCGGCTATTCAACATTAGTCTTGTTATGCGTCTTCATTTTCTCCCATGTGTCTTTTCTGTCACTCACAGTTTTGTTCAAACATGTTCATTCACGCAGGCACATCTCGGCCATACGGCAAGGCTTCAGGGTCTGGTGGCGGAAAGCGGAGGGGTCGGAGTACGCTGTCTACCTGACCCACGACCTGAGCATGCTCCGACTCATCGAGACGTTCTGTGAGAGCGCTCCTCAGCTCACTCTGATGATCTACGTCATGCTGGAAACAAACAAGGCACGGACTGTACAGTGTGAGTTCTCTCTAGTATAAGTTACTTCCTTAAACTCACAGCAGAAGCAAACTTCTACAATAGAGGATGGTGTTTCTATTAGGTATTACGCAACTTTGAGTCTTTCCTGACACAATCCGAAAAAGGCTTTTTCCCTCTCTTAATCACCTGAGCTGTTAATAATACATTTGTATGAATGCACTTTGCTTTGCTGATCCTTGTAAAAAACATCATATTAAAATTGTGAAACACATACTCTACTCTCAAAAAAGGTAGAAATACATAGCAAAACCTAAAAACATGACCTTTCAACATTTTAACAGACAGAACTTTCCCGTGTTTTTCCCATGAAGGATATTCATTGAGCTACACTCTCCAGTGGCATTGACAACCTCCCCAGCATAAATGGTTCATCCCCGCCTGATGAACTGGTTTCTCATTACAAAAACAATCTTCACAGTCTGCTCAATACCCTGGCTCCTTTAAAAACCCATTCTGCTCCTTGGTTTACACCTGAACTACGCCAACTTAAAACAAAAGGCCGTAGATTGGAACGCCTCTGCAAAAAAACTGGACTCACAAAGAAATGTACAATAACCACATCCTCCACTACAAGGACACTCTCTCTACAGCTAAATCATCATACTACGCAGTTCTCATCAGCTCTGGCAGAGGGAACACAAGGGCCTGTTCTCTACAGTGAAGAACATTCTACGACCAACGGACTCTCTTGCACCTTATCAGTATTCAACCGCCTACTGTAATTCCCTCATGTCATTTTTTTTTATGACAAAATAGAAAGCATTCACCAGCAACTAACTCCTAACACCACCTGCAGTATATCTCTCCCTGTTTTCTCTGACCATCTCTCATTCTCTTTCAAGTTTCACACTTCCCTCTGCTGTTGTAATCTCTGACCTCATCCGTAAATCCAAGCCATCTACCTGTCAGTTAGACCCTCTTCCTACTAGGGATGGGAACGATTAATCGAATATTCTAAATTATTCAGGCATTCGAATATGAGTATGATTTTGGGAGTGGTGCCTAAGTTGATTACATATTATCAAATGGAATAATTCAATGTATACGACAGTGCCATAGCTAAATGTGTTAGGTGACGTCTAAAAGGTGTGTTTTGCTCCGCTCACCGGTCCCTCACAGCGGGTAGAGCTGCAGGTGCTGATCTCTCTCTCTCTCTCGCGTCCGGTTATACTTCACTCGCGTTTATGTCCAAATCCATCAGATCTAGCTAGTTCTAGCTAATGGTATGGCTGCTGCCCCTCCCTACACGCAGTTCAAGCAGACTCAAACCTCATCTTATGCCCAAATTCCAGCTGAGAGGGTCTTCTCTACAGCTGGCCTGATAGTGAATCGCCTCCGCACCCGCCTCTCCCCTGAGCATGTAGACATACTCATATTCTTTTTCTTTTTTAAAATACTTTATTTTTAAGTTGTTAAGACATTACAAAGGAAATAACATACAACATACAGGTCACTGGGGTAATACATCATCAATATGTTCTC